CCTGGGCTTAAGCCATTCTTCTGCCTCTGCCTCCCAAGTAGCTGGGACTACAGGTGCCTGCCACAACACCTATTTTTTGGTTGCAGCCATCATTGTTGTTTGGCAGCCCCAGGCTGGATTCGAACCCTCCAGCTCAGGTGTATGTGGCTGGTGCCTTAGCCGCTTGGGCCACAGGCGCTGAGCCAGTAGTTTTACTCTTAATGGCCCCAAACTGGAAAAGGGTGAACAGATAAGTGAACCACAGTGTGTCCGAGTGATGGAACACGGGCCAGCACTGCAAAGGAATGGGTTGGTACACGCTCCACCATGTGTGAGGCTCACAAACACATCACTGGGTGACAAATGCAGACACAGAGCCATGTCCCACACTTTCCCATTCAGATGAAATTCTGGAAGAGGACAAACAACGGTGGAAGGAATCAAATGGGGGATCGTCATGGGTTGGTGATGCTGAGAGGGGCAGCTGAGAGGTTGGTGGAGGCCATTGCTCGGGAGAGGGGGCACCAGGTGGAGACGGCGGGAGCCAGAGTGTGAGGGATGGCCCGGCATGCTGCACCGTGGAGTGAAGGCCAAGTGCACTATGACACATAATATTTTCTGAACTCAAATTGAATTCAATTCAGCGAGCGTTTATGAAATTTATGCTCAGCGCAGGCACAGGGGTACAAGCCTGAATCAGACAGACTCTCACTCCAAGAAGATGCCAAAGAAATTATCACAGAACACTGTGGTATTAGCAAGGGCCCCACCACTGGGGAGGCTAGAACAGAAGGACCCCTGGAGCCCAGGACCTGAGGCTGCTGTGAGCTAGGCCCACACCACGGCACTCCAGACTGGGCAACACAGCGAGACCCTCTCAACAAGAAGAAAAAAAAGGAAGTGAGGACGTCGGCCTGAATTACGTCCTATTCATGAAACAGTATTTTAATGTCCTTTAATTTACTCGTATTTGTGTAGAAGGAAGAATATGTCACAACAAACCAAAATTCACAAATTCCTTATGTATCAGGACGGTGTTAGGAATTTGTTACATATAGACATGTACAACACAGGGTGCTGATAGATTCATGCCCTGAAGGTCAAGAGTCTGGATGTTGAGGAAGAAGATTTT